TACTCAGGAGAGGACTTACGTTGATTTAGGAGTGTTAGGGAGCAGTGATTGGGTTTCAAGCATGGCAGGGGTGAGACAGAAGAGTTGAAGAAGGTTCATCAGGCACCTGTCACAGAAGGAACATGAAGAGAGAATGGATGCCAGGGACACTCAGAAGCTGTTGCTGTAGTCAGGATGTGGCAGGAATGAGACTGAAGACAGGGAACCTGCAAACAGGGAGGGCCGGGTGAGACATTCAGAGGAAACGGATGACAGGAAATGGTGACAGATAGGGAACAATGATGAAGGAAAGGGAGGAGTCAGTGATGAGTGGGAGTGGAGTGGGGAGCACTGACACCTCTCCTCCTCCACCTGCCCCTTTTCTGTGGCACTGGACAAACATGGACTTTTCGTTTTTCATGGGCTTTCTTGGTGGGGATGTGACCAGCTTTGAATCTCTCCCCTTACACATGCTCCTCCTGCTTATAAACCTCCTGCACAGATGAAACAGGTGGGCAGAAGAGAGCCCTCTCTTTCCCTCCCACCCAATCTCAGGCCCCAGCACAGCCCAGTCCCTGGCCTCACTGGTGCCTGTGCCCAGTGGTGCAGACAGGTGAATGCCTGGCAAATTAGCATTCCAGGCTGTGCTCTCTCCTCCTGCTCTGCGGCAGCTGGGAGTGTGCAGAGAATGAAGGGAATGACAAGCACCTCCCGGGCTCTCTTTACCTGTGCCCCTTCTTGCCCCTTCTTTCTGCCCCTCCATCTGTCCCCTCTTCACCTGGGAGAAGCCATACCCCAAAAATATCAGGACAGATATGTCACCTGCTTCCCATAATGTAGATGACAAGGCAGGAGGTAGTTGGGATGGCACGGGGAAGAGGAAGGAACAGACTTTGTGTGTGGAAGTTTGGATGCTGTCATTTGCCATTGCCTATCAGTCCCTGCCCAACCTCTTCACCCAAGAGGCCATGCCACTGACCAGCACCTTCCCCCTGGGAAGGGTGATTTTCTCTGCAAAGCTCTTGGTCCTTTCCTCCATCTCTTTCTTTTTCCTTTTCCCCACCTTTTCTTTTCTTCTCCTCTTCCTCTTTTCCCCTTTCCCCTTGACCTCACTTCATCCTTCTCCCCTGTTCTTTCTACTGATCAGCACCTGGTGGCCCCCAAGGTTACACATTGCACTAGATCATGGCATAATTAGCAAGTCATTCTTAATTATCCCGAAGTGGAGAAGATGAAGGTAAAGGCAAGAGCCACAGGTTCAGGATCTGCTTCCCTGGGGTCATGACAGGCAGGGGAGGAGAAGCAGTGAATTGGGAGTGGGTGCTTCCTGTTTCCTCCTCCCCACAGCCTCTAGGGACTAGTGTGCTGATGGTGTTGGGTGATCGTCAGCTCCTTGTCACCTTCACAAGAATCACATAATGCAGAAAGGACCATACCTATTTTTCAGTGGAAGAAGCTGAGGCAAAGACCAGTGAGTGGCTTCCCCAGGGTCATTCTGCTGCTAAACAGACATGAAACCCAGGCCCGTGGGTTGCTGTGGTTATTGATGCTCATCTCTTACTTACCCGGGGGGCCTGAGTCTCTTTGGGAGTGGATGTGTGTTGTCTGATTCATTTTTGGCCCCCACGGCCCCCAGCACTGTGCTTTACAAATGGAATGCCCTCAAGATACTGAACAGTAAGGGGTGGAGTTGGGAAACAGAAATCAAGGGATGCTTGGAGATGGTCCTCTCCAGGGGAGATAGAGGAAGACAGACCCTTAGTGAGACCACGTGCAGAGCACGTGGGTGAGCTAGTTCTGTCCCTGATGCCCACAGAGCAGCTTCCTCTCTCGTGCTGGGTGAGTGTGCCAGAGGGGATGGCTTCAGCACTGAGCTTGTAAACTGATCTACCTTGAAGTAGGCCACCAAGCCAAGGGTGTCTGTACCAGGAATGGCAAACAAATGGCTCTCATGGCACCATTCCCCCACCCTCATGGTGGGCATTGTTCATCAATGCCCTGGCCCCAGTGAGGCCTATAGGCCTTCCCACCACAGCCTCCCAGACGATCCTGCCAGTCCACAGAAATAGCAGACATGCCGCAAGCTTTCTGACCCTGAATCTGCACTTGTTCTTGGCACCATGGCCTCTGAGCATGAGATAATAGACAGTCCGGAAGCTTTGCCAGCAAGGATGCCATTCCTTAGTCTCATAGGCTCCTGGTTAAGGAAAGAGCCCCAGGATCATGTCTTCTGCCTCCGCCTCAGGGAGGATTCACCCTTGGAGCACCCTGGATGGTGCTTGTGAGCTGGAGCCTAATTGCTCTGCAAAGTGATGCAGTTGTTTATTAGAAAGTTGTTGTCATTTTTTTAAAACAGCGCAGAGCTTTGTTTTCTTGAAACACTGCCCACTATTCCTGATAGAAGTTTACTCACTTCACTCGACAGCCCTTTTAATATTTTTGATATTTGAAGGAAATGATCATATTCTCAAGGTCATCTGATCTTCCGTCAGAACATCCTTCAGTTATCTTCATATGTCAGCAGTTTCTCACTCATCACCTTCTTCATCACCCTCCTTGAGATGTTCGCTCATTTATCACTTTCTGTTCAGCCAACGGCTGTTATGCATCAGGCCCCACCCCAGGTGCTAGAGACATAGCAGTGAATGAGACAGAGGGCAGTCTGTAAGGGAGGTCAGAGTCCTCTGACTGGATCCAGTTTAAAGGGATGTGACTGTGGCTGAGACTGGTGCCTGGCATAGACTCATTCATGAGTCCAGGGCCCTGTTTTCTGTGGTGCCTCCAAGAGAGTGCGTGGTCCCTACTGAGATGAAGAAGGATGAAGGACAGAAGAGGCACAGGGAGCTGTGTGCCCTAAGAGCTCATTGCCGTTTTATGCTGATTAACATTCTTTTAGCTTCTACTGAGCTTAGAGTTAACAGACGCTTCCAGGTCTTTCTTCACCTGAACTGTGTCTAAACCAAGTTCCCTCCACCTTCTATGTTTGTGCACTTGATTTTTAAACCCTAAATGTTGGGCTTCACATTTGTTCCTTATAAATGTCATCCTGGTGATTGCAGTCCAGCCTCTGGCCTTTAAAAATTATCTGAGTCTTGATTCCATCATGCAGACCATTTTACTCCTCTGTGCTAGCCCCAGTTTTCTATCCAGATGTTGAATGAACTGGAAGGGCCCTGGCAGACTTCTCCATGCAAGGCTGGAATCAGACTGTTGCTCACCAGTGCCCTTTATGGCTTTGGTTCATTTGGCTCTGATTTTTCTGGTATGTTCTCTTCCCCAACCCCCATAGCTCCATCTTGTCCACAAGATTTTGTTAGAAACCGTCAAAATCCGTGCTGACTCAAGATGTGCTGTGCTGCAAGTTTTCGCTAGGCACAGCAGGCTAATAACCCTGTTACAAAAAGAAATGGTGTGTGTTTTGAGCAATGCTGGCCCCTCGGACTAACCTCTGCCTTTCCTAAGAGCTTACGGACTCTCTGTTTAATAATCCATTCCAGAAACTTGCCAGGGCTCATTGTTGAGCTTGGTGTTTGCAGCTTTGAGTGATCACTGCTTCTCTCCTGTATGGCAGCACCAGAACAGAGGAGCCTTTGGCCCTTCCCAGTCCCAGTTTCCCCCCCACTGCCCCTGTGGACCTCGAGTACAGAGCTTATGCAACTACTGAATATTGTGTCAGTACCCAGGGACAGAATTAGGCTGCCTTGTGAACTGGGGTGAATTAAAACAGCTTGTGCTGGAGGACCCCTCACAGCAGATGAAGTCCTCTCTCCATCCAGAAAAGATGGAGCTGGGTGGTGGCCCTGCTTCCTCACTGGGAGGAGACAATGCTCTTCTCTTTTCTTTCTGAATGGTGGCCACCTTCATACTGGTCTGTCATGGAACACTTAAGCTGCTTGGGTGCCTGTTGGTACTGCCAGCCCTGCCATGCCTGAGCTCCCTGGAGTAATCAGGGCAGACTCATTAGGGGATGGGGACCCCTGGATTGTGAAATTGGCTCTCTGGTGCCAAGGCCTTCTAAAGTTGGTGGGAGTGGCTTCGGCTTGTTGGGTCTGATTCCAGGTCATTCGTTCCTACCTTTAGAGAAATCCCAGCGTTCCCTCACCCGAGTCTGCAGCCCTTTCGCCACCCCACGTCCTTCCCCCTCCCTTTCCTCATGAACCCAGCTGTGCCTCTGCCTTCTCATCTCTGTGCCTCACACAGGCTCACTCATGCCAGGTGAATGCTGAGGCTTCTCTGAATGTGGAGTGTGGCCCTTGTGGGCAAGGGCTGGGTTCTTGGGGGTAGCGGAGCTACAGAGGTGAATGGGAGGAGGATGGTGTGTCACACGCACATCAGAATTAATTTTGAAGTGAGACTGGCCTTGCTGTGGCCAAACAATGTGGAAAAGCATGAGTGGCATTATGTGCCTTAAAGTATCAGGCACCTGGGCCTTGCACACCAGGAGCCAGCCACAGGGTTGTCTGGGGAAATGGCATTCCCTGAGATGCAAGTGCACAAGAATGCACTTGTCACATCTGGGGAACAGCAGGGCAGCTTGTGCCACTGGGCCCAGCCCACACCAGGGGAGATGGAAACAGGTGAGGAGCTAGGCTATACGGAGCCTGTGGGCCATGGTCGGGATGCAGGGCATGCTCAGTGAGCTATTCACTATGTGCAGGGGCAGTTCTTCCTCTGAATTTAGGTGACAACACTCAGTTCCATCCTTACCATTCTCAGCCTCCGGTCTCGATTCCCCCCTGCAGAGGTCACTTTGTCTAATGCACGTGATTGTGAGGGGTTGTGAACTGCTTCGCCCCATCAACAGCCATGTGTGCATGTGTAAATACCATCTTCTGTGTGCCCTGGAGGCTGTCCTTCAGATAGCACGTGCAGGTGCCAGCATAGGGCCAGGTGGCTGCCTGTCCCTACCGAGAGTGCAGGGAACTCAGTGCTGTCAACTCCTTGATCCTGCAGCTCAGATTATCCTTGTAGAGGCCGCGTGGATGGCACCAAGTTTGACCCTGGCAAGCAGGTGACCCTGACTTAAGAGACTTTACCTGAGGGCTGGTCTAGCAGGTCTACTGTTAGGAGCAGGAGGTGTGCAGGGGGTAGGGAGCAGTCCCAGCTTCTGCGATCTTCTCCATGGCAGGATCTCCCAGTGGGTAGAGCAGAGCCAGAGCCAGGTGCAGGCCATCGAGGAGAAGGTCACCTTGGCCCAGGCCAAGATTGAGATCAAGGGCAGTAAGAAGTCCATCAAGGTAGACCCCATACCCTTGTGTCCTGAGATAACTGGGCTGTCCCTCATTATTCCATGCCTCTGAGGCTGCCCAGTCTCTGCCCTGCTGCCCACCTGTACCTTGGGCTTTCCTCCCACCCAGGCTCCCAACCGTACCCTCTCCTGCCAAGCAAGCCTAGCTATCTGAGTTTCTTGGGGCCCCTAAGACTTGTCCCTGTGTCCATAGGTGTTCTCCAGTGCCAAGTACCCTGTTCCAGAGCGCTTGAAGGAATATGGCTCCATCTTCACAGGTGTCCAGGACCCTGGCCTGCAGAGACGACCCCGCCACAGGATCCAGAGCAAGCATGGCAGGCCCTGCAGGTCTGCTGGCCATGCACATCACACGGCATGTCACACACCTGGAGGCCTGGATGCTGGGGATGAGCCGGGGCTACCATAGGGTTCTGTCCCACAGAGGAGGCTGACTGGGAAGGGGTGGCAGCTGATTTGGCCCAGCCCTAAATACTCACTATCCTTTGGCCCCTCTGGCCTTCCCAGGAGAAGCTGAAGTACTTTCCTGTGTGCATGAGTGCCAAGCCAGAGCCCGAGGATGACACAGAGGAGGGGCTTGGGGGTCTTCCCAGCAACATCAGCTCTGTCAGCTCCTTGCTGCTCTTTAACACCACCAAGATCTTGCATGGCCAGAAGGCAGGGCAGAGGGGTGTGGGTGGGAGGCCCAGCCTGGCTTAGTGGGGACCGAGGGCATTAGACACAGGTATGGCACCAAGGCTAGGAGCCATGGGGTAATTGGGGTGGCTTGGCTTGGGAGGCTTGGGACCCCACCATGCACACTGTGCCCCTGATGGTGTGGGAGAGGTAGGAATATGGGCTCAGGACAGCAGGTGTCAGCTTGCCTGACCCCCACATCACCCCTGTAGGTACAAGAAGTATGTCTTCCTGGACTCCCTGGCTGGTGCTGTAACAAAGACCCATGTGATGCTGGGGTGTGGAGATGGAGGAGAAGCTGTTTGATGCCCCCTTCTCCATCAGCAAGAGAGAGCAGCTGGAGCAGCAGGTGGGAGGAACAGGGCTGGGGTGGGGACAGATGCAGTGGCTGGGGGCCCTGTCAGGGCTCCTCTCCAGGCAAGGCTGTTGAGCTCTTTATTCCACCCATGGGGGTGCACACAAGGCCTTGCAGGATGCCCCTGCAGGGCCCTGTCACCTCTCACATGTCCCTACCTAATCCTCCAGGTTCCAGAGAACTACTTATAGGTGCCAGGCCTGGGCCAAGTACCTGAGATTGATGTGCTATCCTACCTGTCCGACCTGCCCAGCATCGCCAACGACCTCATGTACAGTGCCAACCTGGGCCCCGGCATTGCCCCCTCTGCCCCTGGCACCATTACAGAACTGTTCACCTTCCACACTGAGGTAGCCGAGCCTCTCAATTCAGATGAACTGGGAGCTGAACCAGGGACCTCCTTGCTCCGACACCTCCTTCCCTAGACACCCCACACTTTCTCTTTCAGACCTAGAAGGTAGGGTGTTCACAGCACCTGCACCATCTCCCCCAGTTCCTGAGGTGCTGGCCAGTGCACCCCCCACTCCCACCCTCAGCCGTGGCCCCCGTAGGCCCAGGCACCAGGCAGGACGGCGGCAGCAGCAGTGTGTCTCCTTCAGGTGGGAGCAGCTCTTTGAGGACAACTCTGTTCATTTCTGGTGTGCTCGGTGCACTCAGGTGGATTGTCTGTGGGTTTAAGTGGCCAATACTTGATTTTCTTAATAGTTCCCATTTCAAATGTCTTGTTTACTTGGTTCATAAAATAGTGGTTTTCAAACTGTGGAGCTCTGGAATTCTCACCTCTTGGGCAGAGGGGGCCTGAACAAGTGAGGCTCTGGGTTCCCCATTCCAAGTTAAACCAATGGAAAGAAGAGGCCTAATAAACTATGGAAAGAAGGTCTAATGACAAACTACAGCAACAAATGATTCAGTGTCCCTGAAATTACAGCATTTCAGCTTTACTGTTATATCTCCCATCTGTCTCTAGGATCCAGAAGTGGCACAAAACCCCTCTACTGGCTCATATTTGCAGCTGAGACTGTCAGTGCATGGCTAGCTGGGGGGTCCAGCTGTGTAGGGTGGGGGCTGGAGAAGGTCAGGGAGTGTCTGCACCCACATCACCTTGACTCTGGTGTTGCAGAAGTCAGTGCCCAGGTTCTGTGTGCCCAGGCCCCACAGAGTCTTCAAAGGCTCAGCATCCCCAACACGAACCTCCTCGTTCGAGGGGAGGTGCCCTCCCTCCTAGCAGGGTCTTGGACATGATAAGCTTCCCCAGCCCTGCCTGAGCAGCCTTTCCTCCTTATCCTGTTCCCCACCTCCCACCTCCAGTTGAGGGAGCTCTCAGGGAAGTGGGCGACCCCTCTGAGGGCCAGGCCACTCTGCTAGAGTCCATCCACCAAGCTGGGGGCATTGGCAAGGCCAAGCGGCACAGCGTGAAGGAGCGAAAGCTGGAGCAGCAGCAGCAGCAGGAGCAGGGGCAAGGTGAGCAGGCCCTGGAGCCTGTGGTTGGAGGGTCTTGGACAAAAACGCTGCCTCTTGTCTGGCACTGAGTCCACAGGGTGCTATCTGCCCACCCCCTGCTCCTGCCAGCCTGCTCCTGGTACCCCTAGGTCATGTGCTGGAAGCCCCGGGCCATCACTCAAGGTCCTCAGTCCTCCTGCCTGGGCCATGGCTCCTTCCCAGTTTGGGAGCCTTAGTGGAGCTTTCCTCTCTAAGCTCACCCAGCTCCAACTGTGGCAAGGAGAATCTTCCTCAACTGCTGAGACTGGGCCAAGGCAATGGTCAGCCACCACAGCCTCCTGAGATATTTTGAGAGACTGGACCTGAGGCCTCCTGAGGCTGCCCATAGTGCCTGCTGTGAACGCAGACACTGGTGTGATGTGATGCCTGCGCATGCTGCAGCAGTGTCCTGGGCACTGTGATTTGAGCTTGTGCCCAGCGCTGCTTGTGCCTTGTTCAGTGATCCCAGGCAAGCTGCCTCACCTCTCTGGGCCAGTTTCCCCACCTGTGCAGCGCTGCTGCCTACTCTGGCCCTGTCCCCAAGGGTCGCTGGGAGAGTGTTCCTCAAACCTAAGCACTTTCTCATCAGTGCCCAGTGTCGGGTCAGGGATAGACTGAAGCTCTGAGCTATCTGGGAAACACAGTGGCCTTGGAGGACTGGGGAGTGTCGTCAGGGTGGGGACAGGGAGTTGGGGTTTCATGTGACTGAATCCTTTACTCTGTGGCTTTCCCATTGCAGTGAGAGCCACAGACCAAGGTGGGGACCTGATGTCGGATCTCTTCAACAAGCTAATAATGAGGTGCAAGGGTAGGAGGCAGGGCCACTGCCCGCCCTGGGCCGGCACACTGTAATTCTCTCCTGCCTTTTTCTTCCTGTGTTTAAGACTCTGGGAGCTGGGGGAACCAGTGTTTCCCACCCACCACCCTCAATCAGCCTTTTCCTTCCAGGCATCTCTGGAAAAGGACCTGGGGCTGGTGAGGGACCCGGAGGAGCCTTTGCCCGTGTGTCAGACTCCGTCCATCCTCTGCTGCCACCACAGCAGCCACAGGCAGAGGAGGATGAGGAAGACTAAGAATCCTAGACTTGGGCCACTTCTCCGACATGGACACAGCCAGGACAAGCTCCTCAGACCCGTTGCCCTAGGAGGGGGCAGTGATAGAACTGTCCCAGGACTGTGCGGGGACCACCTTCATGGAGCAAGAGGCTGGCCTGAGGCCACAGGGCTAGGGTGGGGGCTTCTGTATGCCTGTGCTCCAGCAGGGGACAGCTCCACCCAGCCTGCACCAGTGTGTTCTTCTCTTCCCTAAAGAGGCTTCCAGAGAAAACTGCAACACAAATCAAAAAAGAACTGAGCAGAAACCAACAGTGCACTTTTAATAAAAGACCTCTAGCTGTGCAGGATGTAAATGTCTCAGAGTCAGTGACTTTCCTCTTGCCCCTGTTGGTCGCTAGGCAGTGAGGCAGAAAATCTCAGCTGACCATGACCCCTTTCCCTGGGTCAGAGGAGGAGAGGCACAGTCAGCAGAGGCAGCTGTTGCAGCAGGGAGGGGTAGTGTCCCACAGAAAAAAGTTTTCAGTGACAGACATGGGGTCTCTAAAAATAGTCATGCTGAGAGCCAAATGGCCCTTGGCATCATTGCTGGTGTCGGGGCAGGTGTCTAGGAGTTTGCTCAAGTGGTTGAGAAGGGAGGGAGGTGCCATCAACTTGCAGAAACTGGCACCAAGCCAGGGAGTTAGAAATCCGGGGAGGGCTGTGGGGCGGGCTAGGGGCAGGGCTGCAGAAGGAGTGACTCAGGAAGAAGGTGGGGGAGGTGACAAGCCCCCAGGCAGGAGCCCTATGGCTTGGGGATCTTTTTAAATTGAGACTAGATGGTGAGTAGTCAGGGCAGCTAACTTCAGCTATTATAAAAAGGGCAGAAGCAGATGGGCCTGCTCCATCTCTCCTATAAGAAGGTGGTCAGGACAGAAATGCCACAGTAGAGGCTGCAGCCCCCATAGCCTCCTGCAGAGGCCCAGTGAGAAGCCTGGCTGTCGGCCATGCGGGATGGAAGACATTCGATTCCACAGCTGGGAGCTGTCTTGGGAAGACCTCAAGAGTGGCCGGGACCCACCGTTTCTTCAGGATTCACCTGTTTCCACCTGTGGACACTAATGCCTGTACCTGGGTTCTGGCAGCGCTCTGGCACACACTCCTGGGTTTCACCTTTGTAGTAGGATTCCTGCAGACCAGGCCCATGACAGTCTCCAGCAGGCAGGGCAAAGGAAGGGCGCAGTCCCAGGCAGTGGTGCAGCTGCCCGTCAGGAAGAGGTCGACTTCTCCCGGTGGAACTGGGAAGGCAGAAGGCAGTGAGAAATGTGATCCTAGGGTGGTGGAGGCTCTCAGGAAAGGAAAAGGAAGGATTGAATTTCCACAGGGCAGCAATGGCAGTACCAAAGGTGGCTGTGACCTCCATGAAGGCTCAAATCCAGGCCGGCAGCTTGGCTAGGATAGGGCCGGGCGTATTACTGGTCCAGGAACACTATACTGCCAGAATCCCTTTGGTGCCCAATGGCCCTGCCCTCATGGGACAGGAGGCTAGAGCTCTGAGTTACAGGTACCTTCCCAACAGCACATTTCCATGGCATCTCCCTCCCCTTCGTCAGCCTCAGGTGGGAGACAGGGCAGGCAGCCCGTTTCCTCTTCTCCCCTTCTCCAGCCCCCATCTGTCCAGCCAGCTGGAGGCAGCCAGGCTTGCTGTGGACTGGTTGATGGCCTTCTTGCAGAGCTTCTCCACCAGATTCTTCCCTGGGGACGCCTGGCCTGGGGCTCTGGGCTCAGGGTGAAGGGGATGACCCTCGAGTACTGTTGCCTGCCTGCAGCTCTCCATGGGAAAAGACCCTGCCAGGCCTTGGAGCCAGACCAGCAAGCTTTGCTGGACAATGAAAGCAGTAGGGGTCCAGATGACATTGCAGGGAAGATCAAGAGGATGTGGAGGGACATCTGAACCCCCGGAGGGGACAGGAGATGCCCAGCAGGGAAGGCCCAGCTGTGTCAGTGCTAGGAGTGACACCACTCCCACCCACCGCCCACTCTTCTACCCTCTGCAACACGGGACACTCACAAGGGTGTGATCCAAGTAGGCCATCTTATATAGCTCTGGAGACCTATGTTGGGGAAGGGCATGGTTGCCATCGCCACACACCTGGGGGGAGAAAGGAGCCTGAGATCATCACCCACACATCACTAGCTGCTCTGTTCTGCCACTTCCTTGGCTGTGCTTGCAGCCCTCCCAACTCTACACCTACCACTCAGAAAGGGCTGGTTCAGCTGATAGATCCCATCTAGGCCAATGGATTTGTGTCTTGCTACAGTGATGGCCGGCCTGATTTTTCCACCTGCTCTCCCAGGGCCTAACCCAGAGCTGCTGAGTCCCTCACTCCAACTGGCTGGTCTGAGCAGTCGCAGCCTGGCTTTGGGCTTTGATGGCAGCTGACAGCAGGTAGGGGCCCAGCTGCTAGAGGAATGGCCGGCCGTGTAACACAGCCCAGAAGATGAGCACTAATTACCAGCCTAGGTTGTCAGAGAAGTTGATCCCTTCACTCATCTTTCCTCTAGCCACAGAGAGGAGCAGGGCCCCCATCACCCAGTATCTCTCCTGGCCACAGCCTCTTGAGAGACACCCAGCCCCAGAGGTGCTGAGCCAAAGCTTAGATGTCACTCATAACATTTCCAGCTGCCTCCCTACCAAGGTCTCGTGCCCAAGCCTCAAAGTTATACCTGCACCTGAATGCACCTGGAACACGAGAGTGGCACTTGCTCCACCTGGTGTGCGCTCTTGGGCTCCTGGAATATGTGGAGACAGAGGACGTTTCCCAGAGATGGGTTCAGGGCGCTGGGTCTTGGATCTGCTGGTGGCTTTGTGTTTCCTGGCCAGGGGACAGGAGAGCCTTGCAACCTGGGGCTTTGGGGAAATCCTCTGTAGTCAGGGACTGGGAGCGGTGGGGATGAGAAGCTAGAAGCCTGTCCTGACTCGATGAGCACAAGAGCTCCCAGGAGGACTCAGTGGCACTGTCCTTGTGAGTGAGAGGGCCAGCTGATGGGCCACTCATCTTCTTGCTGGTGGCCAGGTGGCCCAGCAGGCTGCTGTTCTCCCAGTGGGCGTGGACCTGGCACAGGTACTTGTAGGATGGGAAGAAATAGAGTAACCCTCCAGGAACCACACCACACAAGTTACAGAGGAGGTCACACATCTTGTCTATCTAAGGAAGAAAGAGAGGGAGCCCCCATGGAGCACCCTTCAGCTACCCACAAATGGCGTCTTAACTTGAGGCTTAAAACTAAGGAGAGAGACCCAGGGCCTGACTCCAGCCAGTGGGGGAGGACTTGGCTCCCCTGGGCGGGAACCACAGGGTGGAAGGTGCCGCCTCCCACCAAACACACCAAGGTGCTGCTGCTGACTGTGCCTTTCTGACACACGTCACGGCACTAGCGTCCCAGAGGGCCTTCCTATTGCCCTGGCACTGAGTCCTCCCTTCTTCACTCTGGATTCCTGACGGGCACCACAATGACAGGCACTGCATGCCCCAGGCATGCCACAGGAGATGCCCCCCAGTCCCCACATCCCTGCCTATGGCAGGAGAGAATATTACCAAAGAGCAAGAGAGCCAAAGGGAATGGGCAGCTTTCTGATGCATGGCATTGTCAGGGGATGCCTGGAGGTTTTAAGAAAATTTAGCAGCCTAAGGGTTGAGGGGTGGGGAAGCTCACACTTTCCTCCATAATCATTTAGATTGACTGCTTATCCTGTGCGGCTCTGTAGCGGGTGTCCCAGTGCAAATTCTCAAACACCTGAAAATACTCAGGGTGTGCCAGAGCGCCACTGCCCTGGAAAACCCTTTCCTGCCCAAGCCCAGGCTGTGGCAGGGTGAGCTGGCTGGGACTGACCATCTGAGGCAGCTCTCTCTGCTGGAACATGAATTCCAGGGGCTGATTGGAAATCCTTCTGCAGATGACAAGGGGAAGGATGCTTTCTGGAGGGATCACGTAACCTGGTGAGACCCTGGGAGGAGCTGAAACCTGAAGATGCAGGTGTGCTGCAAGGCACAGTGCAGGAAGGGCATTTCCCCATCTTCCATCATAGGAGCAGCAATTGACAGTGCTCACCCACCGGCCATCACCGCTGTCATACTGGGCAGCAGGCAGCAGGGAGCAGAGCAGGAGAGTGTGGGTGAGCACACGAAGGGTGAGGCTCCCATTGCGGGGTCTCCTCCACCCCTGTGTCTGGTCACAGTGTGAGATTACATGGAGACAACAGGGGCCAGAACCTGAACACTGGCCCGTCCCACCCTGGGCATGGCTCCTCTCCACAGGAAAACTCCACTACAGTGTTCAGCTTCCACCACAGCACAGGCTAGCAGTTGCTGCTGGAAGTCAGACACCTGGAGACCAAGACCACAGCATCAGGACCCTGTGACCTCCCAAACACCTGGTGGAAAGGAAATGGGAAGTCTGGGCTAAGATACAGCAAGTACACGTGAACAGAAAGAAGAGATCAAAGAAAAGGCTGATGGCAAGTTAACAGAAAAAAAAAATGGTGAACGATATGTGGTATTGGCAGTCTCATTTAAACTACGTGCAGAAACAGCAAAGGAAATCCAGCAAATTCGCACAGTCATTCTCAACCCTGGCCATGCAGCAAATTCATCAATGGAAATTAAAAAAAGTACACATGGCCAGGCCCCAGCCCCAGCCACAAATAAGAATCTCCAGCCCTTCACCTGTTAGATTGGCAAAAATCCAAAAGTAACTACTCTGGAGAAGCAGGCATTCCTGGACATTGCCGGTGGGATACAGAGCAGTACAGTTCTTGTGGAGGGCAGTCAGATTGCAGTTAACAAATTAAACATATTTGCACGTTTCAACCCAGGAACCCCATATTTAGGAGTCTACTGAGAAGATGCAGGCCACAAATACCAAACAGCATATGCTCTGGGTGTTTCCCTATAATCATGTGCTTGCCTATCCAGAGGGTACTGGTTGAATGAGCTGTGCTACATCTGCCTGTCAGAGAACCACACAGCCCACTAGAGGAGCGATGGCCTGGGCAACTGACTAAGATGGCTTTCATGTCAATCAAGCTTGTCCAACCCATGGCCATGGGCTGCATGCAGCCCAGGACATAAACTTTCTTAAAATATTATGAAATTTTGTGTGTGCATGAATTTTAAAAATCTCATCAGCTATCATTAGTGTTAGTGTATTTTATGTGAGCCTCAAACAATTCTTCTTCCAGTGTGACCCAGGAAAGCCAAAAAGATTGGATGCCCCGACATAAATAAAAGAGGAAAGGGAAAATGAAGACATGTACATGCTTTCTTGGGAAAAAAGAGAAATACTGGAATGATAGGCCAGTAGCTAGTAAAA